TCTGGTATTCTAGCTGGCGCTGCTTTAGCAACTGAGCTTGTATCTTATCTTATTATAATATTAAAATAGAAGATTCAAATTTTTATATATTACATTCTACGTATGAATCTTTTCCCAGGGTAGACAGTGTCTACCCTGTTTCCTCTCACTCTACACCACTCATTATTGGCGTAGGCTGTCATGACGTGGCTAGGTAACTTTTCTATGTATAATTCTCGTCAATGTGATTATGGGCCCTCGTAATAAGATAACTTATTTAGAAAGCACATATACAGGCTTTATTTAATAATGATGCCAATTCCTGCAAAATATGCACTGTCTCTTACCCGAACTCTGAAATATGTTTCCTTTCTTCAAACTATTATCTCCCAATTACCAGTTACTACTTTTGCTTAACTAACTACTCGTATGTCAACCTTCCCTGAACCGTCATTTGACACAAGCATTTGGCGTCAATTGTCTTGAATATGCCAGCCGTGCGCGTACTTTCCTCGGGTAGGCAGTGTGTGACGATGCTTCGGTACACGAAGCAAGAAGTAACATTGATGTAATGTTTTTGTTTGTATTTCATGTTAGTGGGAATACATGGCACAACATAGCAACTCGATAAATAATTCTCACAATTTTAATTGCATATGGATAATAATATGACAAAATATGGCAAAGATAAACTCGACTATTTAAAATTCTATAAGTTAAACTTTGGATAAAGTAAAGGACGAAGACAAGAACGGCTACCCTCAAATCTGTCAGTTTCTCGCAAACGTAACTGTTAATTCAAAATCGTACAGTTATTGTAGAGAATAATTCGGAATAAGTCAACAACCAGAACTGCAACGGCGGCAAGTTCATCCTACTTTGGAAATGGACCTAATATTTTGATTCGAATAATAAAAATTCGTGGTTTGAATACGTTACAATCAGGCTAACTTAGAGATTTAGACTGAAAGTTTCGAATATTTCATTAAAGTTTCTTTACGAATATGCTATGGAGATTCCCTTTCATTTTAAAGAAACTGAATTAGTTTACTTCAATTAAACGTTTCGTGGCGGATGTAATTGAACATGGGCATTTACGGAGATGAAGATAATGCATTAACTCGACAAAAACTAATTAGAGAGCGATATTTCTCCATTATTAAATCAAATTGCTTCCTGTGCCGTTACAAGAGGACACTAATATGAGATATGAGCTGCGAGGTGTTACAAACAATTCGGTATGATAAATGCAACTGAAAGAAGAAAAAACATGTTGGATTAATGATTATAAAGTTTAAGGGCATAATTTTAAAATGTTACTGGTACTCCAGTTTTCTAGTAAACAACGACAAAGCCCTCAACTACTACGATATTTTCAATGAAATCTTGCAGTAATTCTTGTAATAATGCATTTAACATAGTATGTCCCTAAAAACGCATTTACATGGCGCATAAAACGAACTCACATCCGTTGAATTTTTGCTTGGAAAACGGTGCTGCAATGAACAATGCTACAATTGCTACAATGAAAATGTGGAGCGTTTTCGCGTAGACACGGAAAAGGGGGTAACAGGGTGCAAGAATACTTGAGTGTTGGTGTCGGGGGTCGAAGATGTTAAAGAAGCACAACACATGCGGAATATCAAAACCATCAATGTAAGTGAATTCGCATCATAACAGAATGTAAATACAGAACTGCTAAACTGTTTCACTTTAGAATATTATTCGTACGGACGTTTAACATTATCAAATCAAAGGTGACAATTTTCTATTAGACAATATGTCTTACTCACTACAGTTCTTAGGCAGGAAGTACACGTCAAAAATTGCGTCCAAAATACAGTTCACGAATAGGAACGGCCAAGATACAACTCAATCCTATGCATGGTGACGTACACGTTCTGAATCTGTAAATATCAACTAATGTTCTCTGGGACGTCCGAAGTCATGCAAGACGCTCCCGAAATTACGTACCTTAAGTTTTAGGTCCATAATCTCAAATACATATATTGCTGCTTATTTGCGAGTATATACATCCGGAAGTGCAGACTTAGTGGGTACATTATGGTAGTAAAATTGTGTAATTCTTGAAATGAGAATCATTAGTTACACGTGGAAAGGCAGCGTGACTATGCGCTCTCTTCAAGGTGCACACAAAGCAACCGGTATGGAAAGCTATCTGTGAAAGACTTGGAATGCCATGCTACTTAAATAGAGGCGACCATTCACACAAAGCTTTGTGAATATGACTATTGTTGACTGGCACAATTTACCTGCAGACGTGCTGACGACCTTTCCTAGAAGCACGCGGGTTATGCGTTTGAAATTACTTAAGAGAGCACGTGCGGAGTACAGCGTTGTTCAGTGAAATGCAGTGACGGCCAACAAAAGAGCGTGGTAAGTGCGATGCACCGTTAAGGAATAAATTAGTGATTTCGAGGGGAGATGCAGTAAAGGGAAGGGAAGGGAAGTGAAGAGTTGGGTAGAGATGGACGGAGTAGGGATGGGCATGTTTTAGGTATTTCTTTTACTCGCACTTGTCTTTTTGTTTTTATTTTATTTCATTCTTGTTTGTTTATTTGCATTTGTTTTATAAATCTTTTTTAAAACATTTGTATGTATTGCTTGTTCTAATTTGTGTACTTTTTTTATTAACTACCGACGAGGTAGACTGTAGATAGACTTCTCAGCTACCAGTAGCCTGCGTGTTACATGTTCAATTTGGTATTTCGGTTGAACATTTAATAATTTTCGTTGAACTTAAGAGGTGTGTGTTGATTTAGAAGATACCTTACTAAGAGTAATATTTCACGCCCAGTGTGGATATCCGTTTCATAATTCTTTTCGTTCATGGTGGTACAGGGCTGTTTACTCTGTTTTGCTGTCGGCCGTCGGTGTTCTTGGCTAGCCCCAAAATTATCTGAGATACCATATATCCAGTTACATACACAATGTGATTGATTTCCGTAATATCTAGATCTCTGCCTGGGGATCGTACCACCTCATTTAAGACAGAGTTCCCTGTCTCCATCACTCTCTTAGCATTGGCATTTTCGTATATTCTCAACGGTGCACGAGATTTGAATGGAAGTTGAACTCTATCTAGCGTCGAAGGAGATTTCGCATCATGCCCTTATCGTATGATTCAATACCAGACGAATTTTCACAACTGACGTGTATGTTTTATTGGAAAGAGGTAAACCTTCAACAGGACCTCGTTTTCAAGTTCTAAATGTTCATGTGGGTAGTTCTATCGAAGAACATATTCCGCATTTCTCTGAATGTCAGCAAGTTGTTCTGTTGTTAAATGTATCGTAGTTGACTGGCAAGCTTCTTTGAATCTAGGGTGGGTCTTATATCTGGGTTTCGCTATATCCATTCCTTGAAAACGTCTACTTCCGTGCCCCTATTTTTCGCTTTGACATAGTAAAAGCACCATGTCACCTTCAATTCATCCCGTATCTATCTCTGACGATGGCTTCGAGCTACTGCCGACTCGGGGTCCCTGGGCCTAACATCCGTGGGAGAGCAAGACGTCGACAAGGTGCAATTAGCTCGGTTTCTGAGTAGGTATGGGACATTGGTAGAACAAAGCACGTTAAGATTCATTACATTTCTTGTTCTATCCCTTTTGCTCATTGGTTACAAGGGCAGTTTCGCAGGAAGCAAGTTCGAGTTCACACATAATCCTTGGATTATTTCCTATTATTCTTTACTGCGCCCCACAATGGGCTCGGGACATCCCCCCGCAGGGCCCAACAGGGGTCCCTCCGATCGCCTGTCGGCATTACTAAACCCTATGGGATTTCCTCTGACTGCTGACTCTTTTGCTGACAAATGCAAGGTTCGGGCATTCACTATAATCAATGGCCTAGTGTAGCAGCTCAGTTTCTCTCCTGCACCCTCCATGGGCCGATATCAGGAAGGCCAAAGGTTCATGACCCTTCCCTCTACTTACTTCCCACTCTCCTCTGCGATACTTCGTCTGACCCCTTGCCTTCATCCTATTCAGCAAGGGAGGCCCTACCAGTAGCTAGGCTACCAATGACATAGCTCTCAGACTCATGGGGGTGTCCTTATCAACCCTTGAGGAGAGAAGGGTTGCTTTGAGGCAAATTTCATGTCTTCTGTGGACTGCCTCTTCTGTAGGTCCTTTTCTGGTGTTGTTGTTGTTATTATTATTTTTTCCGGTCGCCAATCAGTCATCTTAGGACCACGTGAATGTGCAACTGTACACACCAAGGCCCAATAATATTTTCCCGGGGGTTAGTGCACATGATTTGCTGGGGGGGGGGGCAGCATTTCTTTACTGAATCCATTATTACACCACAAGGTTTTTAGTCCTGCGGGAATGAGGTGTGATATGATGATGATGGACGAATTGGCAATTACAAACACACACGCAAACATCCATGCCCCGGGAGGGATTTGAACCCATGACCCTTCAGGCACAAGGCAGCTATGGCTCTTCAGCCTTAGTGACTTCGGCTATCTGGGCAGGCTTATTATTTTATTATTATAATTAATTCCGCCATTAGTTTTTTAGCATCTCCTTCTCTTTTCAGTACTGGTGGAGGGCCTCCCTGACACATTGTCCCTTTTCAATAGGAGGGTCTACTTTGGTAGATGATCTTCCTTGGTATGAAAGTCCCATTCACTATTTAGCCTCCAGTAAGTGGATATCACTTTTGGGAGATGGGACTGACACAAAACAGACATCCCACTGGCCCCACTTTGTACCACCAATAACAGTTGTCAGTGGTAAAGTTGCAATCATTCCTTCCTGAACCTCCCTGAGCATAGTTTGTGGTCAGTTTTCCTTTCTCTAGGAAGATTGGTTTTATCTAGGGTTGAGAGCCTTCCCAACCAATTTAAAGGAGTATAGAAAAACTGTGATCTGGACTGCAAGGGTTTAGATAACCCTGGTTTAGATAACAATTGATCATAGCAAGGGAAATAAGATTATCACAGGCTCACTTCTTATCTGTAAGCCACAAAAGCTGATCTTATATTCACCAGCACACGAAGGACTATTACCATTAATTGCATTATCATTAACTGCATTAACATTAATGTTATTAATAAAACTCTCTTGTTTCAAACAAAATTGGCTACATTATTGAAACATTTAAAACTCATATCTGCCCCCAGCTGCAAAAGTATGAAAAGATGAAACAACTAATGTTTTATATATGAAGAATTGAACAACAAAAAACTAACCAATAATTGAAAGGTGTTTGATGAAGCTCCTAAGGAACAAGAAGAAATTAAGAAACATTTTACGTATCACATAAACAAGTTACAGAAATGGTCAACAATATAATGTATTTGACACTAAACAATGAGTACAATGATTACCAACAGCAGTAGGAGGAATGTATTACTGTGTATGTATATACAAATAAGTAAATTACTATAATATTGTGCTTGACAAACTACACATTGAAACGAGTTTCTGATCCATCTGCCAACATCAGAGCTACAGTTCGATTATTGATCCAAACCAGACGAGCAAGTCGCGCAGGGTTGAGACGAGACATGTCCGGTATAGGAGCAGTAGAATAGGATTTCACACATCGAGTCTGGGAATTACCCAGTCCAAACATTCCAGTGGATGTCTGCAGAGAAGAGAATGTTGTTTCATTAATTTTATGTCAATATCTAACTATAACATATAAACAGTTTATGTTTAAAAATATTTGCAATAATTTACTTTATAATAATCTTATAGTTTTAACTTTTGTTAGCTTAATTGTTTTTGTGCCATCTTCTTCAATTTACATAACATTTCATAAGTATTAATAACATTTTTTCTGATGTACAAACTACTTTGTGAAATAGTTTTCAAAATTGTTATAGAAGTTTTAAAAAATCTTCAAAACTTAAACAAGTAAAAATACATACAACATTTATGATCAACATATACTACATTCATTTAGGTTAAAGTGAAAATAAAGAAAAGTGGTTCCCTGTGGTTGGAGTTAATTTTTTTCAATTTGCCTGAAACCTGATTTTTTTTATGAATTTCACAGTTAGATGGTGTTCTGCATCAAACAACCAAGTGATATTCTTTACTTTGCAAGAAAAAATGGTTTGAAGTTTAAGGATTTTATGGATTGTTAGGGGACACTGTTTACAATTTCTTAAAATATAAATGTTATTTATAAAGGAAAGTGTTAATATTTTTGCATAGGTCTAGAGTATCCTCAAATACATTATGGACAATAAGATTTTTGATGTTCTAAAATTAGCTCTGCGAACGATGATGCCAAACATTACACAATTTTTATCTACGAGAGCGTGACTTTAGCACATATTTTAAAGATGGTTCCTATCTTGGGTAGTCAATGTGCACAAATTGTCATCAAGAACCATTTTAAATGTACTGAAAATACAGAAAATATATTTTAAAAAGGAATCATCATTTTTAAAATCCTAGTTATTATGATCTTGCTATTGTGAGTCCATCCAGACATCACAATTAAAATTGATAATATCACTCACGTGGATGATCAATTGTCATGTGAAGAATGGACCATGACTTTATTTAAAATGACCTTGTTTCTAAGTAGAGAAAATATAAAACATGTCTATGGGACTGTAACCATTTCTTAGTGACAATGGATGATGGGTTGTAACTGATGCAAGTAAACGGAATTGATGTTGCACAACCCTTGTAAAGAGGTTTGAAGCACAATAAATGAAGTAATTGGAAGTACTTTTAAGTGAATTTTAACACTGAGATAACATAATCTAGCTCATACACTTATGGACTTTTCCGTACTTCAACAGTACATCAGACATCAAGAAAAACTCTTAATTCAGATTTTTATGTTGCAATATTTGATTAAATTATGATAAATTACTAGGTAATATCTTTGGAAGGTAAAAGGAAGAGACAAATTACAGGCATTGACAAATGTTTTTAAGGGTCCATTGTATTTCATTTGTTAAAGGATGTGTGTTAAAAATAAAAATAGCGCTATTACCTGCCAAAATGACAGTCGATTCTCCTGACAACTGTAGGTGGCTAGAAATTTCCCATCAGGTGAAAATGCACATGCTGTAACTGAAGAAGAGTGAGCAGACACTGTCTGACAACGATTTGAGCGAAGCTCATAAAGTGCTACTTGTCCTGAGCGAGCACCCACAGCAATACGTCGAGTATGAGGACAATGAGATACTTGTTGAAAGCGACACACTGCAGGGAATACTTCATTCAAACGCTGCTGTTTCAAATGGCCAGGATCAACACAATGCAGCACAATATCTACCACCTAAACGGGAGACAAAACATTTTTAATTAAAACACTCATTGCTACACTTCAATAAAATGTGTAAAATTAGTTGTTTTTTTTGCACTGGAGAATGATAAAAAATATAAATAAATACTTGATAATAATGTACTTACTCGGAAAAAAAATAAGTATAGAATTTTTCAAATAACCTTTTTCAACAAACTTCATACTTCATGCACACATATCTTATTTTTTTTCTTCTACAAATTATGTGGGGTTGACTTGCTGATATTTAAAGGTATTGCCTCTTTTGAGAGATAGAAGTATTTGTCAAACTAGAAAAAGTCTAATATACATTGGTTCTTCAACATAAATCTTTTGATATGAGAGACTCTGATTAACACTTCAGTATAAAATAGGTATTTTCTCTAATCATACTAAAGGTCATAGCATTCTCAATCTTTATTCACTAGCTTAGTAATTTAATTTGAAAAATTGAAGACCATTGAATCACTAAGCATTAATGGTAATTTTTTAAACCTAGCAATTAGTATGATTGTTTTAGATGTAATGCAGTGTATATTACAGCATTAAAATATGACAGGATTTCTCACAAAGTGAACTGATAAATCTCAAATGTGGTTATTCATGAAAAATTTTAATCATTCTCCCTCCATAGAACATCTTGAGAGAGCAATATTGAGAAAATATGCTGGAAAAGATGGGGCAAGAACAACAGAGTCCAACTATGATGAATAGTGCTCATGTAAATTTCTATGAAGCTCTTCAACAGTGTCAAAAAAGGCAAATTTTATTTTAACACAAAGTTTGTCACAGCATTTGTTTGAATGTGTCAGTTGTTATTAAAATAATTTTTTGGTGTCTCTTACTATGAAATTGGAAATACGTATGTTTCCGGGGTATTTGGTGTCCGAGTGCAAGGTTTCGATTAATATTTTCCCCAATTTGGAACAAGAAGGTTATGTGTGTCGCTTCCTAAGCACACTTCGTATTTACGCGGGCTCATCATTTTGCCCGCGAGCGAACGGTTGTAGCGGCGGCGGCAATCAGAACGGCTCGCGGCGAGAGCGCGCACCAGGAAGTAAAGGACTTTCAGTCGAGGACCGGCGGCCGCGGTGGGCAGAAGTCGTCGCATACTTCCGAGGGATTACGCACTTCTGTGAGGCCTCGGTCTCTTTCTTTTTCCTATCAAGATAGAACTATGGATCGACAAGTTTGTGCGCAGCTGCTCTCAGTGTGATTTACTTTTTTACCAGTCAGGATAAGTGGTAAAGAAATTGATATTATCTAATGGGTGTTATGTTACACTTAGCTGAATTGTGTGTTGAAAGTAGTTTGTAATTCAGATCTTCCCCAAGGGGAGAAAAAAAAAATACAATATATTTTGATAATATTATTTGTTTGCACCTTAGGGTGTACTTGTAGTGCTTTTACTTATAGTTACAGGGGGTGGATCGAAGACACTGAAATCTATATTGCATGTCCTCATGGTAATGAGATTGAGTTGCTCTAGTTTATACACAATTTAGAGGATCTTATTCCACTTATCACAGTTCTCAGGGCAGAAAGATGCATTAAAACAACTAGATATCACACATTTCTCCTCCCTTTAAAATGTTAATGGTTCATATTTCAGCCATAATTTTAGAATCCATATTTATTAGATATTTTTCTTATTTAGACCAATGCTACTTCCTCTCAAAATATGAAGGCAATAAACACATTTAAAGATAATTTTTCACAGAATTAAAATCATTTACTCTTTCAATAATAATAATATTAAAACGGGTATTTGAATTCACATGACTGGCTCATAAAATTATTTGTAAAAAAAAAATTGTATAATAATTATGATTATTATACAACAATCATAATTATTTGTGTAAATGCAAATGCTTGAACAAAATCTTATAATCATTAACAATGATTAAAATTGTTTCATTAACGAACTAATTCCTGTTTCTCTGCTTTCTAAAGGAGCCTTATTTCTGAGAGATTTGTATGTTTGTATAGATTAGTATTTGCAGGAAATACAATTGAATTTAAATTGAAAATATTGATGAAAAATTCTATTGAAAATAAATTGATATTATGGCTGAATTTTAATTATTTGATTTCAAGAGATCTTTAGTTGAGTATTGTATATCTATACAAATATAAATAGATAAATATTTACCTCGATTAGTAAGTCTGACATTTCACTTTGCATCTTGTCAATTAGTAATTCAACACCTCGCAATATTTCTGGTTTAGCTCTGTGCAATACACTTGAATGTAAATTGACATTCAGAGCTTGTGAATTTTGTTGCAAAGTATTGTAACGAGCAACCTGGAAATAAGAAAATTATGTACAATTAAAAATGGGTGCAGCTCATAATTCTCACCTTACTAAATGACTAAGTGCTTATTTGTGGATAAGTCATTTATTGAAGAAAGGGTGGAAGGAAAATTAATGGACATATGATTTTCAATGTATTGTAAGCCTAAATTTATGTTGCTATTATTACAAGATTACGGTTTCCCTTACACTAGTTTTCATCGAGATGAGTTTTTGTATTAAAATTTAATTTAAATTATTAATCTAACTACATTAAATATATATGAACCAGTAATGCCACTAGTTTGTAGCCCAGCCGTGTTCATCTTCCTTCTTGAGCTCTCCAAGCCTCCATATAAATTTGTCTGAAGTTTATGTATTCATATTAAGGCAGTTCCACATATTTGGTATTCGCAGATCAGAGCGCTACTGGTCACCCAGTCCCAAATAGCTTATGTGTTCAGCATATATTTGCTTCCCTTGATGTATCCAAACGATCGACATGTGATGGGCAGGGCGAGTATTGAATGTCACTCAGGAAATAGCAAGCAACTCATTCACACTACTTAGGATGTGGTGAGCAGTTGTTTGCTACTTGCTGCATAATGAATGTGTAGAGCTGCCTTTACTACTAGTATTTTCTAGAGCACGAGGATAGCTATTGTGGATCAGCCCTCACCTTAAAGATACATGTGGAAACAGAATATGGAAAGGAAGGATTACATGTGATCTGTGGCCTATTATTTAATGTAATGCTGTGGCAACTACTAATGACAACACCAGTAGTTATATATGGGAGTAAAAATTGGATTCTCTCTCAAAAAGAAAAAATCACTTATTCAAGCTACAGAGACAAAATTTTGAAAGAGAGTTAAAGGTTGTTCTTTGCCAGATAAACAAAGAATGAAGATAGAATAGAAATGAATTTAGAAAGAATGGAGCAAAATAGGCTACCTAAACAAGTGTTAGAGTACAACATTGGAGGGAGAAGGAATGTAGGAAGACATGTAGAAGATAGTTTGATGTGTGAAGACAGAACAGACAGCCACCTAGTCCTTATAGTACAGAAAAAGAAGAAGCTCTGGCATGTGTTTGAAGTAGATAGATGAAGTAGATCTTTAAAGAAACCACGAAAAACAACCTAATAGAGAAGCCAACCTTTATAATTCTCATCCCGGCAGTGGCTAGCGTTGAACCAGCTAAAAACATGTACAGATACATCTCTCATATGTCCAATTCCTTTTTTTTAAAGTCTTTGATGGGAAATAAATATAAATATATTGCTGATGTAGAAAACCTGCCAGTATTGACACTCAAACCTAGGACCTTCGCAGCCACGAAGCTTCAGTTGCAGACACAACTACGTGTGTTATCACACTCAGTTTGCTGCCTAATAAACAGCATTATTTTAATTAATCTTCTTCTACGGCACAATCACCAATAAAGAGCCTTGACCCCTCTATTCCTGTCTGTCCTGGGTAATTCACTTCCATTTTATCATTCCAAATAGTTTTATATCCACTTTTACTTCATTGTTCAATCATCTTCTGGGCTTACCTGCACCACCACATAAACTACACAGAAATGTTACTGGTATGCATTCACCAATCTGGGGCATATTTGCAGTCCACTGAAGTTCTTTTAATTTGATTGATGTGGATTTTTGAGAGTAGAAAAACCTTTCATATACACCCTTTCTTAGCAAGGGATGTAAAACAGTTTAACCCATCTCTCACATTTATGTAAAAGAATGACACAAAAGAATCAAAAAGTCAAAAACAAGTCTCTGAGCAAAATTTCTACACAACCTTCCTTCGTACAAAATACCTTTGTGGCCAAATTGCATTGGAATAACAGGCCTTGCCACAATGACTAGTACTGCAAAACAAAATAATGAAATCAATCAATGGCTTATGGAAATTATGAGATATCTCTGGAACAGAGTTGCAAGCTCAATCTGTGACGTTAATGATGATGATGATGATAAATTTAAACTTTAAAGAAAGGGAGAATTATGAACTTCATTCATCTTGTAATTTCATGACCATTTCACTCCATTTTTGTTTTTCTTGAAACAAAGTGGTTCTTGCTCTTTCATCTCTTGAACGCACATTTCATTTAATGATATACAGTGCTTACTAAAATATTCTAATAAATGGATGCAATCAGAAGAGGATGAGAACAATGAAAGTGACTGAAAGCCAGGAGGAAGGAGGAAATCAAGAAGAGAAAGGAAAATTCAGAGAAGAAAAATAAGTAGGAAGAGGAAAAAGAAACTAGTGAAATAGGTAAAAATTCATTGAAAACCTTACTTCTCGTGCCATTGTGGTGATGAAAGCTGCAGGACGTGCAGTGGCAATGAGTGTCAAAGCGTGCCTTGCTGTACGGCAGGAGTCTGCAGCCGGGGACAGAGGAAGCCCATACGTCATACTGAAACATAAGGCTGCTGATGAAGTTCTTCTCGTCTTGCAAGAGATGCTCTCCTTAAAAGAACCAAATTGCTCGAAAAGCATGAACATATATTTCTGAGTATAACAAACAATTTAAGGATATTCTTAATGGAAGTATTATTCTTAACTGAAGTGTGCACAATTGTGCAATTCCAATTGAAATGGACATTTGGTTCACAAATTTCTCAATGCAATTTCTTAGGGATCAGTTGTATCGTGATTCATTTACACAAAGGGAGGGGAAATTATATGACCAAGGGTATTTTACATCTTGAGGAGATACTCTAAAGTTAGGGGGATCATTTTCAATCCTCACCTCTTGAATTGGCATTATTTTTAACCAGTGATATTCGTTTCAATGTCTCTTACTTTTATATTCCAAACTAATCGACAATATTTCAATGGAAATCTGTTGTGTGAATGAATTTAGATGTAAATCTATATGCAAGTACATTGGAACGTTAAAGCTTTGTTCCCAATATCATACTTTACCTCGTGCATAATTTGTGATATATACTACTATATTTGCCAATTACTTTCTTGATTCATTTATCATTTTTCTGATTTCAAAACTTTGACTGAAAGGATAATGATCTTTCCAGAAGAGACTTCCTGTACTAGCAAATTAACACTTGCATATGACTGCAAAATACATAAGTGGTGGAATGTTACGGAAATACTTTCAAATGCATTCACTCTATTATTTTAAAAGGTGCATAAAATGTTCATGTCCAGTAGGAAATATCAGAATTTTTTCAACAAGTGAAATTATTTTTTCAAGAATTTATTCATTATTTTTTGTGCACGCCATTGTTGTGCCAATCTCTCAGAGGATTATAAGGCTTTACACAGAATGCAAATTCTAGACAGGGGTATAAGCATGATTTCCAAAGCAATAAAATGGGGGAAAAATAACACATATAGAATATAAAATATGAATAAGAAATCGGTAACTAACCTACAGTTTTCACAATGAATCAATGGTGTGTTGATTAGAACTTATTAATTATTAATTAAGAGCTGAAAAACATTTTATTCAACAACCATTAAATAAAAGAATATTGATGACCAAGTGCAAAATAACTTCCCACTTTGTTCGTCCATAGCTGTTTCAGATTTTTGCTTGCGTACATCTACAAAGCCAATCATATTCTCGTATTCCTAATTATTAATGATCATGAATTATAGCTGAGTCACACCTTGAAATATAACCTTATTAATGGAAATACAAGAAAAAAATTGCCTTGAGATTCAGAGGACAGCTACAACGAGTTGTACATTTCTTCTTCTCCATGCAAGACAGATTACGTTTAAAAAAACCAAAGGCATGCTGAGTTGTGTTTGTTGATTTAAAAAAACAAACACATATTCAGGTACAGAAAATCTTGAAATTATGTTATAAGAGGAAAAAGTTGTTTCCATGAGAAAATAGAATGTATCAAAATCTTGAGAATTTGCCTTTTGCTTCGAGTTTACCTGGGAACCAGTTTATCAGCATGACAGCACAATTCAAGCAATCCAAGCAGAACTTTTGTTACATCCAAGTGTGGTTCCCAAACAGTAAAGCCACGTCCCAATAAATCAATTGCTGCTCGTCGCAGTTGTGTGTGAGCCGGTAACTGTGGAGATGGTTCTGCTAGCAGCAGATGAGTCAAGGCAAGACCTGAGAAAATTCACCAGTGTTTTCACTCATACACATAAATTTGAATTTACATCAGTAGAAGAAAGAAAATATCACCCCTCCCCAAAGAACAGCTAAAGAAGAATGAACCCTGAAGATAAAGAGAAACCCAATATTATTAATAAAAAAATAACTCAATACAAAACAGAAAATACACATATTTACAATAAAGATCATATGGAAACAAACGTATTTAATTCTTCTTGACTTTTTGGTTTCTAGTACTTTAATGGATCATGCTGTTCGTTTTGGATGTTATATGTATAACAACTTACTTGATTGAAAAGTATTAATTGTAATACTTAATACTGTCATAAATGCAAAAACAGATGTGAAATTTTAACAATTTGTATCCTTTACTTGAAACATTAATTTAATTCAAAGAACATGAGAGTTGTTCTATGAGAAAAAATATAAGGACAAAAATTATATTGGTTTGTATCTCGAATAGAAAATATTAGGTTATCTGATTTATTACTGGGGTAAGGTTTCTAGATGGAATTAAATACAATTTTTAGAATGGTTCTTACTTCCTTATTATAGAGAAAAGTTATTCTTCATTAATATCATGTTATTTTGTAGGTAGATATGTCCATGTCATCAGGTACACACATTCTACAGACAAACAAATCATGGATTTATAGGCTCTTTGTATTAATTAGTCACTTATTAAAGAACTTAAATAGATATATGTTGACTTGAATCCGAAAGTTCGCAAGAGAGGCAAGGAATACCTGATGATATTGTCATATCTGACCATGAAACATGATATTATTAATGAAGAACAAAATTTCTCAACAATAAGAAATGAAAAACATTGCACTGATTGCCTTTAATTCCAACTGGAAACCTCATTTCAGGAACTAATTTAATGCAATCATACTGAAACATCTTAATTTGATTTATACAGATAATTTCCTCAGTACAGTCACTATGGTGGCTTGACAAGGTCTAAAAGACTGTACAGAGAGATTACTGGGAGGAGGTGGGTGGGCAAGAAGCTACACACTTGACTTTAATGATCTGACTAATAAGCCCTTATCTATCATGCAGTGAAAGCTGTCTAGTGCATGAATTGACATGATAGTCAAAGTGATAGATTTAAATTTCAATGTTCGATTGAAATATTCCCCATTCCTTGTAGGACTTTTTACTGTCACTTTTTGCAAACACTGTGCTGTTTCCGTGACCAGCTGATTAAAGGCTGTGGAGATTAATTCCTTCAGACAGCATGACATGCTTAACAATTCTTCAACACTTTCACTGGTGATAATTTATGCTCAATAAACTATAATATGATATGATTAATTTTTTTGGTAACACTGTACTGTTATATCGCTTTAACACAACTAAACAAAAGAATGAATGGTTGATGTTCATTAAGAATTTTAAGTCTACCGTCCATTAAGAAGAAATGAAACGCATAAGTTGTACTTAAAGATGGTGAATGAGTACACCCATTGGTATTTCTTACTTACATAATTTTTTCTTTCAAGACATTGGTATTATGAAAAGTATTAAATGAACCACAGCTGATATGACAAATAACAGTTGGTTGGTTATAAATTTTGGCTATTACCTCAGTTTACAAACTTCAACTGAATCCATTATTTGCTCTATTTCGGCATAATAATTGAAGTATTTCCAATATTCACTATTCTCTATATAATCATGGTTTTGTTTTTCAGATTCTACAAACTTCAAAACCATATATACAGACATCAAACTTATTTGGGAATGTATTTAAAAATTCTTCTTTCTTTACTTTGTAATACTTAATTGCTTCACAATTTGAAAGCAGGAACCCTTGTAAAAATATTTTCATATAGTCATTACATTTCTAAATTGGAGTACTGTAATTAAATTTGTTCAAAGAATTGGTTGCCCCATCCAGGATTTGAAACCGAGCCTTCTGGTTTATGTCCAGCTGCTGTAATCACCAAACTACTATGACAACCTATCCTTTGAATATTGTAGTATAAAAATCTTTGGATCAGGCTATGCTGCCAATTCAGCATATCTAGCTATTTTGTGCATTTATTTAGTTGTTCTTTTATCACTTTGTAAGTCTTGTTAGTTCACGAGTTCCTAGGACAATGCTCCATCCCCCTTCTTCTGTATAACCATTTTTTGGCAGTGTTGGCTTAGGACTCAAGCCTCATTGGCTTTCAGAAGTAGCTCATAGGTCCATCTCTTTCTTTCTTTTTGTGATTGTGGGGGACTGCCAAGGTACACTATGGGGCTATTTCAGTTAAGGTAACCGACATAGAGTAGTGGGCATCTGTCTGGGGGGAAGGTTGCAAGTTTCTAGGGTGATCCATGATGGTTGAGTGTCCCACCATGCCACAGCACAAGGGGAATTAGGAATGGTACTGCCTAAGTGCAAAGCAAATGTGCCTCACATGCAAGCTCCTGTGCCACCTGGTTGAGCCAGGAATGCAAAGCTTATACATGATAGGTGGGAAAGACAACCTTTCCATAATACACACACCTAAGTGTGTCTCATACCCAACTATACTAACTACTCCACAATGTCTTACCATCTGTTGCCAATTGGGCCAGCCAAATTTGAGTATAATATTTCAGAAATAACAATGGGCAGAAATGTGCAATGTCAATAACAACATTAATTCATTAAAGTACTCATAAATTGTCAAAACTCTGAATTTGGACTAATTGTGTTAACAAAACAATATTTCATAAATACAATTTGTGTCATGTACAATTTTATATATAGTTTTTGCAATTTTTTGCTGAAAGTTAGATCAACAAATTTATGAAGATAAATAAATGCACTAAGGGTAGGTTAAATAAAGGCCACCTAGTGAAAGCTGGTAAAATGCCCATAACATATGAATTAACTGCTTAAAATAATTTGAGTAAGAAATGTATTACCCATTGTCAAATAGCCTCTCCCTCAACAAAGGGTGAAAATTAAAATTTATTTACAATTTTTTTGGACCTTAATTCCATTCTTTTTCTTAAAAAAATAATTAAATAATAAAAATAATGATAATAATAATAATAATAATAACAACAATATTAATAACATGAACATGGGTGTGTTGTAATAAGCTGAATTTGTATGTGTTGTTGTGTATGTGTGTTGTTGTGTTGTTTGTGTGAAATAGTTGTGTGTGTTATATGCTATGTATTATGTATGTACATTAATCATAACGTGCATATATATGTATGTATGTAAATACACAAAATAGGAAAAGAAAAAACAAAACAAATACCGTTTACATATAAATGTAACAAAATTACATACAATTTCATTCAGTATCGAGAAAAAAGTAAATAGTAGAAACTAGCATTTTTTCCACCCCTTACAGGGGTAGTGGAGATACAGACGTACTACGAGGGATTCATTTCTTGACTCTGTGAAATCATTTTAAATTATTATTTAGGATTTTCTGGGTCGAGAGCTTATTTCCTCCTTAACAGGGCTACACTATGAAAGACTACAATAAGATAAAAACGGAGGTGAGACTCACTAGTTCTCCGGGCAAGACTGTTATGCCCTAGCCCAAATCCTTCCACCACAGAGCTTTTGCGCCGCTGTTGTTCTCGAGTTGGCAGATGGACAGGGGCAGCTGAAGCTTCAGCAGCAGCATCTTGTCCAAATTCAGCTCCGATAACACCAAGCAACACAACTGCTGTAGTCTGTTTACGACGTAACTCTGCTGTGCTCCATGGTTTACGAGCCCAAGCTTCTGTAAAGTTTGACAATTTACTGCATTAATTTTTGAAAAAATAATCTGTGTTTATAACATAGTACAATCATGAGCATTTGGTCAGGGTGGAGGGAAGCAGGACCTGATAGTAGTAACATCATTTTTTAAAAGCGAGATACCATGGTCTGTAGTGTCACAGTCTGCAAATATCATACATTACAAGCTTTTTGAGTTCATTTTTCAGTTATTTTGTTTAGGCTCCATTCCATTCCAATACCACTGATATATTTTAAAGTCAATAATATCAACAATAAGCCCAGTTCCCCCTGAAGTAAACGTTCAGTTCTCACATATGTTCTATGTCCCAATATTCACATCACCATTCATACACCATCACCCACCAATTTGCTTTGTTGACATTTATAACATTACAACTGTGTCCTGACATCTTTACACTTATTATTGGAGTACTTAGACAGTTGTGGTTTAATAGGTGCAGCAGAACTGGCCCTGAGCAGATTTGCAAAAGGCAGATTAGCAGTGGAATTCACCAATTCCCAATCTAAAGGACCAGGAAGATTGGTTTCCTTCCAAACGGGGTGAGTAAAAATTGAGCATGGTAAACCATTTTGTTAAATTCTAAGTTTACAATAATTTTACTTTATTATAAATGGTTGTAGTATTAACCCTCCTAGGTCCTCTTTGCATCAACACAATTAAGTACGTGAAAAAAATACAATTTTTTATTTTCAAAATAAAATAAATAAATTAAAAACTAGTGGTGCTACAACTGTACATACTATATGGTAAGTGCACATACTCTTTATGAGTATTTACATTATTACTAAGGATTATGCAATATCATCATACTAATTGAACCTTCAAAAATAGCTGTTTTCAACCAGCAAAAATTATTTTTCCATGCCGAGATTCAAACTCAGGTTCTTCGGTTTGGCATGCCCTTCATGTTACCTAGCCACCACCAACCGAACACGTAAACAACCTTCCTGATGGTTTAAAAAATAAATTTAACATTTTTTAATGCACTTGCAATTTGTAATTTTAAAAGATCTAGAGATTTTCATTGAAATTATTTTAAGATCTAATTATTTTACGATTTAATTAAGAAAAAAATCTCTATAGATATCTTTTTCTATATGCATTGAAAAATTGAGAACATGACTATATTGAGATCTTTAAATGTCAAGTTTCTGAAAACATTTACTTTGACTTCCTTCTGAATCATCAAGGCTATTTACGAGATAAAAGGACATCTCTCTTCCTGTAAGAACATTACAAGTAAACACTTGTCCCCATCCACTCCTCTGATGGGTTAAAACAGTTACTGGCAACATGACAATGCACCATTTTTTTTCTAACTTGCCTTCTGTATATTCCTCTTCTTCTTCATCTTCATCTTCTCCTGCAGGTTGTGGTTGAGGCTGTGACGGAGCTGGTGGTTCCATATTCTCTGCACTAGCAGGACTCAAAAGATTACTGGCACCAGTTGAGTTGGCTTGGGATGCAGTGGTACCAGCTGTCTGGGGAGCATGAGTGTCACCAGGTGCAGTCCCATAGGCTGGCACGTAAGGGGCCCATGCATCCACCAGAGCCTTCCGCCCACGTGGACCAAGTCTACCTAACTCTGCTAGCAAAAGAGCTTGAGCTGCTTCACGGACTTCCAAACAATGATGTTGCCAACGTCGTGCCAGCATTTCCACCTAAAATGAGATGTCAGGTGAATGTAGAAGAATACTTTATAGCAAACAGACATATAGAGTAATTCCAAAATAAGTCTAATCTGAAAGAGGTGGTTTATAGCAAATAATATGCATACATATTATGTATATTTTATTAACACATTAATGTACATAGGAAAATAAATTTTGTTACAATTCTATATTTAAGGACCTGAAGAGAACCATTGCCAACAGAGGAAATATCATTACTCACTGCCAAACTGATCACTGTGTATAAACTTGAACTTTACCTTCAATGATATTTGAAATCTCTTGGGTACGCTACTTATAATGAATGCATGTGAATAAACATTTTAATAAAATTCAGTTACAATACAGAATATTTGAAATGTAGCAACAATCCGTAACATGATAGGTGCGTGCTTCTATTGCTGTTCATCACTGGGAACATCATTTGGGGCCATTTTTGTGTATTATCTTGTCGCTAATCACCTCCCAAAGTGTCTGTGCTTATTTTGGAATGCTCTGTCCAAAAAATAGCACTAAAGCCATTTCTGTTATGAGAAACGTGTTATAATCTGATTCATGACATTCAGTATATATATTTATGGCATTCAGTATATATATTTGAAAATCTGTATAACACTACTGAATGACAATGACATTGGCATTTATGAACATTTGTGGCTAGTTAACAGTGCAGAATGCTACTTGATGAGCTTAAAGATGGATGTAATTGGACAGATGAAGGTGGGGCGATTAGTCATAGATCCACTTTCATCCAATCACACTTTTATATCGCATCAAAACTCAAGAAACTATTGTATGAGTAGCAGTTTGTCAACAAGACAATCTTGATTACTTAAAAGCAACACTAACAAATTATAAATGGATGATGATTGACCAGCATTTTAGCAAAGATCTGTTTTGAAGAGCATATGCTGTTTGAAAGTTAGTGCATTTAGTGGACTTACGTCTTCTATTACTGAAGTTTTATAGGAAGATGCAAGACAGTTGTCATAACTTATGAAATAAACCGTACGTTACATAAAATAGATGGCTTATAACTTATTTAGAAGCGAAAGCTCTGAACTGCCATTTGGTAGATAACACTGATTGACATACAACTTGTCCTTGGGAAATATTGTATGTCCTTGATACATACTGTATTATTTTTAGAGTAAAAGAAAAGAGACAAAGGACATCACACTTAAAATATGTTTACTTTTGTGTTTAGAACATGAAGAGAGAGGGTTGTCAATAATAATAATAATAATAATAATAATAATAATAATAATGATAATAATAATAATGATAATAATAATA